TAAAAAAAAAAAGAGCTCTGATGTTTTCCTGGCGACTCATTGCGCAGAATGCAAATGCATTCCGGTATTTGATAAAGCAATTGTGTTGGCTACTCAGTCTAACGATAGTGTAAGGCTCATCGAGGCGGCGTGGATAGCAAATTGAAGCTGCATCAGCAAGCCATTCATTGCACTCACAAAAAAAAAAAAGATTACTTGAATTTACTGGCACGTGGTTTTTCTATGTCGAATTCGCTACTGTTTAGTTTTATTTTGTGCATTGGCTGAAGTGATTGTGATGTCATGTGACAAGTAAATATTCTTGGTGCTTAGCAATAAAATTTTAGTTCGAAGTTAGCACTTGTCCTCTTTGCTCCCTTTGTCCGTTGCATACTTTTTGTGCTTCAGCTGTAAAAACATGAAAGACCAACCAGCCCACTCCCACACCTTGCTTTGTATAATAGCACCTGCATATGGCTTTTTGCTAAGGTGCCGTCGATCCTTACTTTTGCTGCTAGCTATTTTAAATTGGTTGAGGATGTGGCTGATGAGCAATGCCCAGGGGTCGAAGTGCTGCGCCATTATGAACCAATCCGAGCTGCTGCGCCAGGCTGCGCATAAACTGCAATTTCCGCAATCATTGTCGATTGGAAGTGTAAGCCGCCAAATCTAGCTGGTTATTATCGTCAACCGAGCAACATTGAGCGTTGGCTACATACTGGACAGGATGTGGCCGCATCCATATCCAGTGTAGTTCGCGTTGTAGTTTGGTTTGCTACTGCTCGGCTTATCACAGTTATTGCCGTGGTTTCCCTGCCATAATGGTGGCACCAACATGAGTAACTGTCTATTATCTAGTAATACAGTGAAACATTGATAATTTGTACCAGCCGGAAATGCGGCATGATCATGCACTAATCGGCAGTGCGTGCTTACAAACACAAATCTATATCTCCAGAAACAGATAAAGTACCACATCAGATGTTGCTGAAAGTACCCAGCAGAAAGTCTTCGTTCTGCAAAGTGTGAAATAGAAACTAAGCTTGCACTCTCAGAACGACAGTTTTATAGCGAGCAGTGCTGATGCCAAGGAGCATTTCGAAGCTATCATAGGGTGCGGTTCTTCTGGGATACGCAGTGACTAAAATAGCGATAGAGTGGACACTATCGGCTTTCCGTGATACTAAGCGACAACTGACAGTTTCATTGAATTGAGGAGCGGTTGTGTGGACTCAGATAATCTCCTGGCTGGTTGCATGCAGCGCGGCGCCTACTCTGTCCACGCTGCCGGATGGCTCGTGCTACCATGCGCATAGATTTGCCGAGTGATTTGCTCGTCCCCCTTCGCTCCAGACCGAGCACAGATGAGCAGAGTAGTGTGTCTAAGTGTCGGGATAACAAACTTCTGCCAAGCGAAGCATGCCGTGATTATTTATACTCAGTTTCACACATTACGTTCAATAGCAGTTGAAACGCTGCTGTGGCTAGCGAAACTCTTTGCAGTAGATGCGTTGACGTAAAAAAATGGTTAGCTGTTTTTACCACGCGGAATATATTTTTCTTTTCGTTTCAATCCGAGTAATAAATTAGCATGTTTTGTATCACAGACACACACCCACGCACATTTGTGCGTGGTAAGTCATAGCTCATTAGTACAGAATGTTTAGTGAGAACCATATGAATTTTTTTTTTCGGAAATAACTTTGATTGACGATGATGTTTGACCCTAGAAAGCTGCTCTCAAAATGATCTCGTTGCTCCAAGACACATCTTTTGGTGCTTTGAACTTGCTGCAAAACTTTTTTACTGTGCCAAAGCTGCTCCAGAACAGCATTATTCCTGCTCCCTGAGCTGCTCCAAAACACTGAAGTCCACTTCCACCCCTGAATGCCAGAAACATGGCCCTGAACTAAACCTAGTGCAAAATGGTGACTGTGTGAAATGTAAGGGCAGATCAATGAGCAGTTCAGCTGGAAGTGTTGCTTTATCTGGTGCTGCGAATTTGTGTGGTTGTGTCTAACACTCAATCAATTCTTTTATTTACTCCTAATTGTGTAACACTTAATATATATATAGACCCGATAAAAATTTATTCCTGGCAGAAAACAACCTAATGAGTTACTTTGTGACACAATATGAACTTTTGTCGGATGACATTTAAATTATATAATATAAAATTATTTGAATTAATGCTAACGTCAATTGGAATTTTGGCTTGGGTTTTCACATATTGTGCAGTACTAGGGCTATAATTGTTAGCAGCTTGTTGATGTTTACAGTGAAAGTCATTATGGAGCCACTGTTTAGATGAGGTGCACTCAAGCAGGGATGTGAAGTAAAAGGCAATTCACTTGTGTGTTCATTCGAAATTGTGAGCACCACATGTTGGGGAGATGTGGGCACCAGAGCTGCAAAGCCTTTCTTACTTTCTATATCTGGTAAGATAACTTTAAGAGCCAGTAGTACCAGGCTTTTGATACTAATAAGGGTAAGTTTTCTTCCATATTTGAAGCCTCCCTCTGATGCCTAATTGGTAACGAACTTCATTGATCTGAGAATCGGGCGACATCTTTGCCCAACGTTTGCTGTAGTTGTGGTGTAGTGGTTGTGTTGATTCTATCAGTGCCATGACAGTTGCATTTTGATAGAGGTTTAATGCTAGAGGTGTATGTGCTGTGTGATGTCACTGCTTGTTAAAAAATTCTAGATGGTTGAAATTATCTGTTGCCCTTCATTACATCATTTCTCGTAGTCCAAGTCTCTTTGGGACATTAAACACCTCGTGAACCAAACGACCATTGTCGCTTAATATGGGCAGAGTCTTCAAGTCCACAATGTTGTGGTCCCTGACTATCCGTGAACATGGCTGTGAGACATGTTTGTTCACACACTCAGCATGATAGACAGACTTAATACCTAACGTAATGGTTGAGACAGCGACTGCTGCTAAGGCTCAATTGGTAGAGCATCAGACGTGTTATTGGAAGGTTGAGTTCAATCTCTTCTTGTGGCAAGTTGGTTTTTCATCTACTTTTAATTTCTTTTCTTTCTATTGATGCCATAATTACTGCATTAAAACATACAAGTAATGCCCCCTATATATTGCTTTACTTCATTGTCTGTTAGTTTCATTAGGTTTTTTTCCTTTAGAAGTTTCAGACCATCACTTAAAGCAGTGGTTCCCAGCCATGCATGGTCTGGGAATGCCTTGCAAACCAGTGGAAGTAATGAGGGACTTCTTGCGGCAAAGGAGGAGGGGTATGTCATAATGTAACATGACATGCAGTGTGAAATGAGTGCCCTTTATTTTTCCCTGGCAAAGAGTGGTCCAACTGAAGTGCCACACCAATTTGATCTCAAGTGCTTGTCTATAATTTCTGGGGTCTGCAGCCATGTTCAGCCTGTTTCTAGCTACAACGGTGCTCTCCAAATATGCAAGCCTAGAAAAAGTATGCCCACATGCACATGTCGTAGAAAACTGCAACAAAAGCTTCATAGCAATCTCATGAAGAAGGGGAAGCATAAGTCAGCAATGCTGTAGTGCAGAAACGTTTTACGGTTAAGCATATAAAAAAAAAAATTGGAAGTGGCTGTTGTGATGAGACATAGTGTGCCGCCAAGAAACTTATCTAGTTAGCTGTTGTTTTCGAGGATTGGTTTCGCAGAGCCACAAAAATGACATTCTGGACTTCAGGACCCCCGCGTGAGAACCACTGACTGGAAGATTATCAATGAGATCTAACAAACAATCATGTGAAGAAAAGTATAGGGGATGCAAGGTACAGTAGACTCTTGGTAAACGGAGATCTGTTAAAACGAAACTGCTGCTTAATCGGAACAACTTCCTTTGGCCAAATTGGTTTCATGCTTGTGTTCTTCACCTCTGGTCATCTTTCGGTAAATCGAACTCCTGTTAAATGGAACATACTTTCCCGGTCTCTTCAGGTTCTGTTTACTAAGAGTCTACTGTAATTGTAATATAAATGGAAAGAGAGAAAAGTGGATGAAAAGACAACGTGCAGTGAGCAGGGACCGAAACTTCGACCTTCGAATAATGTGTCCGATTCTCTGCCAACTGAGCTACTGCGGCAGCTATCTCATCTACTTTTATGGGGTATATATGAGCATTAGACGTGGGAGTGTCAGTCAGTGCCGCCTGTAGCCATGACGGCAAGTGTGGAACACTTTTTTTTCCTGCTTTGGTGTCGCGTAGCATGTGAACTTATTATGAGCTGGCAGCTGCCCAATAATCCCTTGTATGCTACCTGACGACAATAAGTCTGCCAAAACGAGACCCTCACTATGAATGAAGGAAATAAGTGTACACTTAAGGGCTTGTTTTCTTTGTTAGACAAAATATTAATGAGATCTGACAGACAATCATGCCAAAGAAAGTATAGAGGATGTTATTAGAAGTAATGGTAATGTAAATTTGAAGAAAGAAACTTGGAGGAAGAGATAACTTGCTGGTGGGCAGGAACCGAACCTGCGACCTTAGAATAACGCGCGCTATGCTCTACCAACTAAGCAGTCAGGTCGGCTATTCTCCTATTCACTCTATTGGGTATATTGGGTATATGTTTCCGCTCAGGGTAAGTTATCTTTTCATCTACTTTTCTTTCTGGTGGCATCGTTATCGATTCTCAGTCTTGTTCTAGAGAAGGTACATCTGTGTTTAGCGCCTTCTTGATCAAAAAATAATGCTTGTAAAATAACTGTGTTTTCGGGATTGACTACTGCAACTACATTTACTACAAAGTGTGAGATTTTCCTCTCGCTGTAAGAAAATGAATTGAGAAAAATCAGTTGTAGGTCCCTTTATGTGGCTGTCCCTGCTTGTAGAGTTTGATAACCAAATGTCTGAGATTGGTTGCTTAGTTGGTGTAATAAATGTGCAGAGCCCTTTAAAACTATTATTGTTCAGTTCACTGTTCAGACTTGTTTGCGAAATTAGATTAGAGCAGGTGACAGAATCTGTGCAGGGGTTCTTCTGCCACTGGATGTTGATGGGGGCTATGCAGGATTTGACCCTCGGCAGCACCTGGCCAACTTTCACGCCACTGCACCCACAGCAGCCAGCAGTGTGCCCCAACCAGTGGTGCAGAACACTGAGGAGGCCGCCCACCAAGGTCTCAAGGCGGTCAAGTCACAGCCACGTAGCTCCTTGACAACGCTAAAGATTCCGCAGGTGCCAGCAAGCGACTTTGGTCGCAGCCTGGGCTCGGCTCCTGTTGCCTTCCCGGGCATTGAGCCACACAAACCAGCAGCTGCACCTGCCCAGAAGGTGGAAGCCCCAGTGGCTTCTGAGAGCCCCAAAGGGGACAAGCTTTGGCCCTGCCCGTCTTGCAAGGTGCCTTTCAAGGCAGCCTCAGAGCTGCAGCAGCACCTGGGTCAGCACACACGCTCAGAGCGAGCTGTTGGGGCAGTGCCCTGTGAAGTGTGTGGGAAGTTGTTTGCTTCAGCTGAGCGAGTCCGAGCTCATGTACGGGCAGCTCATGGTGAGAAGGCCTGCGCTTGCGACATCTGTGGCAGCGGCTTCAGCTACCGGTGCAAGTTGCTGGATCACATGCGGACGCACACGGGTGACAAGCCGTTCCGGTGCGAGGTGTGTGGGAAAAGCTTCTCGCAGAAAAACCACCTGACTCGCCATGCCATGATCCACACGGGCGAGCGGCCGTTCCCGTGCGACTTCTGTGGACGGGGCTTCTACCGCAAGGACAAGCTGGCCCGGCACCGGCGTGTGCACACAGGTGAGCGTCCCCACGTTTGCCTAGTGTGCGGCAAGAGCTACGGCCGCCGGGAGAAGCTGGCGCGCCATCTGCGAGCTCATGCGGGCGAGCGGCCCTTCGGCTGCTCCCAGTGCGGCCGCCGGTTCCTCGAGCCCCGGGACTTGAGCCGACACAAATGCGCCGCCCCCCCTTGTTCCAGTGGGCAGCAGCAGCAGCAGCACCAGCAGCAGCAGCAGCAGCCAGCCGAGAGCCTCCTGCTCCTCGCCGGGGGTGGGCCCCTCGCGGGGCTCTACCAGCGGCTCCAGCAGCAAGGGCCCCCCAGCACCACCGCCAATGCCCCCCCAGCTGGGCAACCCCAACCAGACAACCCCTTTCGGCCCAGGCAGCTTCAAACCTGACTGGCAACCCCCTGCCAGTCTGGCCAGTCCCCGTCACTGACTGTGAGAGTGCCACCCGCATCTGCTGCGGCTCGGAGATTATTTTCCCGTACTAGCCGGACTTGCGTGTATTTGAGCTCTGAAGGGTGTCATTGTGTGGCTGCACTTTGTAGGTGCATTTGCACGATGCCCCACAGGGCATGGAAATGGCTCATCACTAGCTGACCTGTTGCAGCCATTGCAATTCTGTGTGTGTTTTGCTCAAGTTTTGTTTCTTAGAAGAGATCAGCGTGTATGCATGAGTAGAAAATGAACAGTTGTGTGAAGTCAGATTCACAACAGATTCTCACTGTAAGAATCGGTGATAAACTTGTGGAAATGTATGCAGAATCGAATGCCCAGGTTATTTTTTTTGCTTTTATTCTTCTAGCCTAGTGCTATCATGCCTTTGTAAAAATCACTTAGTAGGCACTAGAGTTACTGTATATACTACCTTTAGGTAGCAGAGCTGCGCCACTGTTTTCGCTCCGCCTGCAGGAGTGCAGCGCCCCTATTCGCCGAGCGCCATCAAGTGTTCATGGCGTCTCATTTGTATTTCAGAGAAGCCACGCATACGACACCAATGCTTTGCAGTTTCCGGGCAGCCCAAACGTGGTTGACATCGAATGTTGCTCTTATTCTCGCCGCGCTTTTTCGGTACTGCAGCCATGTTGCCTGTTGGTCGCGAGAAGTGTGGTAGCAAGTGCATTCTCTGTTCAATCGTACTACATACAGCCCTTGTAAGGGGCGCGGGTGCATCACTTGTTGCTTTAAAAAGATTATTGTTTAGTGAAAAATAAATGATTGGCTTCTTTTTGCCTATCCACGGCACTGCAAAACTTGCTCTATTTGTATAGTCAATATGTTATACATGCAGAGTTGGTCAGTGAGTGTCGGCTGCATACGTCCAGATTGTTCTGGTGAGTAAAACGCTAAAAATAAAGGGAAAATAAGTTAAATTAGAATTATTCGAATCAGCTAGGTGTTGCAGCTAGCGCGTGAATTAAATGCAGCTTTCAAACCTTAAAAGGGCCCTGCAACACTTTTTGAGCATGGTCAGAACACTCTGCCGGTAGTATCGGTAGTAGGAGCTCCCGATAACACGCGAGCCAAATATTATAGCGCAACATGCGGCCTGGAAGTCGCAATAAATTACCAAAGTGAGCTAAAAATTGCTTTCTCTTCTCTCGACAAATCACGGAATAAGCCCAAAAATCACCCGTAGTAAGCCCATCTATCAGTCATTGGCTGATTTGAACATGGTGCACTCGGTCGTTAGAGATCGTCGCGGGAGGCCGCTACTTGTCCACGCGTGTGGCAGTTGTTTGACCAGAGTTGTGATCTCATAACAGCTTTCGCTGTAATATATATTTTGCTAGTTTAACGAGACAATGGATGTTGTTTCAGTATTACATACGAAGAACGTAAGCATAAAATTAAGGCTTCTACGTGTGGTTGAAGCAACATAGTTTGGGTCACACCTTCATAAAAAGTATAAAGAAAGGGAAAAAAATAAAGCAACCTTTTACTCTGAAGCGTGAGCGTTGCTCCTACGCGGGTGGTAAGTGGCTTTACTGCAAGACATTTGAACTCAAAATGGCGTACCTTGACGCAACTCAGCTACTTAAAGGTAGCATGAACAGTAACTGTAGTAGGCGCATGTCCTCTTGTGTGTAGTCCTGATGCTCAATTTTTCTTTTGTTCTGTATGTGCAGTGTTCATCTCCTGGTTCAGAGTCAGTACTCCAGGTAACTGTATGTATGGGTCATTAAGGGCAAACATACTCATGTAGAAGATGCATAAATTTTGATTTCCAGCCTTTTCAAGATGGAGCGTTTGTGTGTTTGTAAAATCTTGTAAGTGATCATGCACTCTGTCAGAGTCAGTTCTGCAAGTAACTGTTTGTATGGATCATTAAGTGCAAACATACTCATATGTAGAAGATGCACAAATTTTGATTTCCAGCCTTTTCAGGATGGAGCGTTTGTTTGCATTTGTGTCTTTGTAAAAACTTATAAATGATCACCATGCAGGAATGTAGTCACTAGCCCTGTAAGGAGCATTGTCATCTACTTAACTCACTCAACTTTTTCTGTACAGGATGGCTGTGCTAGTTTTCATCGATTCCAGCTTTCATAAAAGCACGGGAGACATGGAGGACTGTACCAGATTGAAAGAAGGCTGTGGAACATATCTTATTTCTCCGTAGTGGTCCTGCATTGTTTACAAGTAGACAAATTCATACTTTGTTTTCAATATTGTCATGGTGTGGCATGAAAATGTCATCCTTTTCTGTTTCCTCTCATGCCACCGTAAAACATTAAAGGTGTCTAATCTCTGAGACTATGTCTCATTGCCCCTCAACATCATAGCGGTGTGGATTGTGCACCTGGCTGAAACTGGTGAAAGCAATTGGGCTTGGGGAGGGGGATATGTGCAGTAAGGCTGCTAACAGGCATCTAAAAATCTTGGTTAATAACAAGTGGACACTCTGCAGCTCTAGCTTGTGCAGTGTAAGGAAAGCAAGAGTGTCTAATCTTTAATTCACTGTTGTTATCATGTGTTACAAGTAGAAACAGCTTTATGATGACCGTATTGTTTCTTTACATTTCTGGTATAGTAAAAGCTCATTAATTTGGATGTCACAGGACCACCAAAAACTGTCCAAATTATCTGCATGCCAAATTATTGAAAGTATCAAGAAAAAAATCATTAATGAATTCCTGTTTTATCAATTGACTATGGTTTTCTTGAGGAACACATAAATTGAGCAAATATTTTGCTTAAGAGCTGTGCGAAAGCTGCAATTTTCGTCATTGCGTCTTAGTTCACAATGTGAATACAGCTCTTAAGCCGAAATGTGCCGTGTACCCATATTTTATTACATACTAACAACATGATTATAGCTGGTGAACATGTCTTTCTGAAAGCCCTTAGTTTTTTGGGCTCTCCACGAATGCCGACTTCGCTGCTTTGTGTTGCATATTGCCGGTGCTTCGCACTTGGCGCTCCGAGGATTTTCTAAATTAACGGCTCTCTGGCCATATATGGCCAAATAAATGAAGGTTGGATGCTATTGAACAATTTATATGCTGGCCGACATTTTTCAAATTCATGGGAGTCGAATTAATGAGCTTTTACTGTACTAAGACTGTGGACATAACATGGAACAGGCTTTGGAAAAATGCATAGTTTTTTTTTTTTTGAAAATGTCAAGTGTTTACTGGGTAATATATATATATATATATATATATATAGCAGAAATAGTGCTCCAAGAAAAAAAAAGCACACGTAGAAAGGCTCGCCACCTTTTTTTTTTTTTCCGAGTGATGTTTCTTATAGCTCAAATGTTTCACGAAGGCGTCTGCAGCACTACTGCACCTCCTTGATTTTTTTATTCCTGCCAGCATGGCAGCTAACAAGTTTCTTTCATGGTAGCAAACTACGGGATATATAGGCAAAGTCAAGCTGCCCAAGATTCTTATAGCTCAAATGTTGCACAAAGACATCTGCAGCACTACTGTACCTCTTCAATTTTTTTATTTCTGCCAGCCATGGCAGCTAGCAAGTTTGATGTGTGGTAAGAAACAACATGGGTCACATGTACTGAGATACTGAGGCAATGTCGAGCTGCCAAAGATTGAACAATCGAACTCTGTTGCACCCAGCTGAGATGATTGCAATGTCAGCTCTGAAACTGAATAGTCCTCCAGTTGTGAATGTTTTGTTAGGTTTGCTTTAGAAGTGATAGCCTCAATCAGTCACAATTAAAGTCCTTAAATAATTTAAAGTAGCACCAAGTGTGTCCTTTTGCCTCTTCCTCCTCTTTTAGCAGCTGCAGCAGCGCCTCTAGGTTGTCCTTCAGGAGACTGGATTTTTCCCCTCTGGTGAAAATGGCTTCTTTCTGCTGTTATGCAGTACTCATGTAGTGAAACAGTACTATTTAAAGCCAAGTAGCACATATGCTTTCAAATACATCACCTTCAGTTTTGGTCATATCAGCTTAGTTTCGACTCGAACAGGTAGATAAGAGCCAACATGAACTTTAGAGACCAGATTCGTCATGACACAACGTAGTTATCTCGAGTAATTGTGCATACCAGTCGTTATACTGAAATTCGCAGCTGAAATCTTGAGTACTGTACCTGTGTTTGCTACTATGGGCAGAGCAGGTCTGCATACTAAAGTGTCCAGGACTACCGTACAGACACTCTAAGCACGATTGACCGCACGTGTACCGATCTAGTAAACAATGCAGATGCATACAAACAAGATGGCGCTTGCACGATCTAGCAAAAACAATCTTAAAAAGCTTGCAGTTCCTGTCGTCAAAAGCAACCACTTTCTTGTACTATCAGATTATGTACTGTCAGACACCACAAAAATACACTGGCTTCTGTATACATTACGTTGTTGTATTTGTTGTTATTTTTATGCTATTTATTTTGCAAACTTTTTCTTCTGGATCATATTGAACTGCAGCGTCCTTGGGTTCTCTAGAGGAATTGCACAAGCCCCTTTTTTCAGCCAATAGCCATCTTCCGTGAGCTTCGCAGCTCAACCAACTTCGTCTACAATCTACAAAGCTCATGGGAGGGAAGGTGCCTCTACACTGACACAAATGACGCTACTTTAGTTACTTTTCAGTAATCACAAAGACTGGGCAGGAGACATAATGTGTAAGTATGTACTAAGCTCACTCTTGCACAGCACAGTTGCTGTCCGTGTTCAGCTTTATGATGTAAAATTATGCATCGTGGCATTTGCATACCGACGCATTGGGATAGCTTGCTTTGATTGGTAACGTTGCTCACCAATGTTGATTAGTTGTCATTCTGTTGTCGCTTGGCGAGATCAGGCAGGGTTCGTACAGGTCCTTGAAATCCTTGAATTTGAAAAATGCATTTTCAAGGCCCTTGAAAGTCCTGGAATTTTTCGCCATCCTTGAAAATTCTTGAATTTCCTGAGGAGTGCACTCATATCGGCATCACAACCTCCTAAATGTTGTACATTTGTGTCAACCTGTCAAAGTCCCTATTTCCGAAGCAGTAATGCGGCATGGGTGCACATGATCCCATTTTGCAAAAGTGCATGGGAAAAAAATATTTGTGGCGAAAGTGAAGCAGTGAATGTGATAGCAAGAAAGTAGAATTTCACTTGAAAAAGGGCAAGTGACTCCATACATGTAAAGTGCCGCTCAAGCACGAAGGATGCATGAAAAAAAAAAAGTGCACAGGACGAGTGCTTATAAACGACTGTGACAGCTCAACACTGGAAGCGTGCTGCTTAAATAAACTAAGGGTGCTAGAAAAGAACACGCATGTATCCACAGGATGTTAACCACTGTTGTCACAGTTGGTTCTTCTTGGTTGTTGAGCCACGTGCTGCGAGTGTTAAGTGTGCACAAGCAGACGCTCTTGATGGGATGCTGCCATCTATTTTCAAGGCTATAGCGAGCACCGTCGGGGTTTAAAGAGACACTAAAGGCAACTATTAAGTCGACGTTGGTTGTTGAAATGGCGGTCCAGAAACCTTGTAGTGTTACTTGTGTGCCAAGGCAGGGCCCATTTTGAAATGAAATCATGTCTTGGCAGTGGTGACTACGCTGCTAGACACTCTACTGAATTTCGCTGCTTGTTTCACTACAGATAGCCGTTTGAACCGGAGCTGCATACCGACGGAAGAAGCGATCTTCAACACGTGCAATCGCCGTGGTCAGCGAAAGCACTGAACGATCTTCCTAGGACTGGCTGCCACCAGGAGGCGTGTGGCCTATCATCAGCACTCGGCAATCACTCGGCATCTTGTGATACCACCTTGCTATAAAGCAGACTACCGGCCACCCGTTCTTTCACTTGGCAGTGGTGACTACGCTGCTAGACACTCTACTGAATTTCGCTGCTTGTTTCACTACAGATAGCCGTTTGAACCGGAGCTGCATACCGACGGAAGAAGCGATCTTCAACACGTGCAATCGCCGTGGTCAGCGAAAGCACTGAACGATCTTCCTAGGACTGGCTGCCACCAGGAGGCGTGTGGCCTATCATCAGCACTCGGCAATCACTCGGCATCTTGTGATACCACCTTGCTATAAAGCAGACTACCGGCCACCCGTTCTTTCACTTGGCAGTGGTGACTACGCTGCTAGACACTCTACTGAATTTCGCTGCTTGTTTCACTACAGGTTAGTGCAGTTTTGTACAGTTACATTTATATGGTGTCGTCACCACTGCCAAGTTTTCAATTTTTTGATTTTGTGATTTTTTGCCTGTTTTGCGCGCTTGTTACTGAATATTAGGCTTATTGATATGGCTAAGGAACTAGCGAAACTCAAAGAAGAAATGAGGACTGAATTGCTTAAAGAAATTAGGCAGGAATTCAAGTTTTTCAAAGAATCACTGGAGCGTGATCTCAGGAATGAGATACGGGATGTGCGCACTGAGCAACGCCAGATGAGCCAGAGCATTGACTTCTCGCTTGAATCGGTCGAAGAACTGAAACAGAACCTTGCTTCTGAAATTTCAAAGAATACTAGTCTGGCGAAGGAAAATGATGAACTACGCACAAAATGTGCAGCATTGGAAAAAAAAGCATCAGAACTTGAAAGGAGGCTAACGAATTCGGAGCAATACTCGCGAAATACGAACCTCGAAATCCAGGGTGTCGTCAAGAAAGAAAATGAGGACCTTTCTACTATTCTGTCTGAAATAGGCAAGGCAATTCATGAGCCTATCAGTTCATCTGACGTCGAGTGTTGTCACCGTGTTCCAACTCGCAACCCAGAGAAAACAAACATCATTGTACAGTTTAAATCCAGAGCTAAACGCGACGCTGCTCTGAAAAAAGCAAAGAAAACAAGGATCACAAACAGAGACTTGGGGTTAGAATCCACTTGTCCCGTTTACGTGAACGAGCATCTTTGCCCATCACTAAAGAGGCTGCTTGGTATGGCAGTGAAAAGGAAATATGAGCACAAATGGAAATCTGTATGGAGCAGCAACGGAAAAATCTATGCAAGGGAAAATGATGGTGGTGATGTTGTGCAGATCTCGGAAGAACGTGATCTTGCTAAGATTACTTCAATTACTTCTGGTACCACACAAACCACTTCCTAAGAACCACCATGGAATATCACGATTTCATCTTACCGCATCAATTACACTTTCAAAAAAATTCCAGTACTTCCGTGCTGCACTTGAATGCTCGATCAGCAGCCAATAAACAAGAAAATATTAGCAACTTATTAAATCTGTTCTGTTTTAAGTTCGATATCATCATGCTAACAGAAACATGGTATCAGGACAGCAATTCTCGGCTGTACCTAGATGGCTATGCTGATTA